TCCACTATTACGAAGCAACAGGCCGGCACTTTGGAAAGTACCATCTCCATAAGAATCTGTCAAATTCTTGGGGGAGCTAGGGACAAGGATCACTCTAGTCACAGGAGATAAGCTCACAGAAGTGCACTTATAAGCACTTTAACATTGTGGAATGACCAGCAAAACAAGCTACATGGAGTCACAACTTGATGGCACCACACTCTTAAAACATCTCTGTTCAAAGCTCTGTTGCATGCATGATTTAGTCTGAGCAAAGGGATATCTGGAAGCCACATCAAAGGACTAATGGATAGACATTTTGTTAACATATGTAGAACTGATGCCAGGCCGTAAAACAACATTGTACTGAGTATTACACATCTTCAGAGAAGTTGTTTTCTTTCTTTTTTTTTTTTTGGTCTACAAATTATTTCTTTCCTTATGTGCATGAATGTCTAACAGACTCAGAAGCCTAGACATTTTTCATGTTCTCTTGTTCCCTGGAGTTTTGCCCAGTATTACAAATTCCAAGAGAGGGACAATTTTTGAAAGGAAGCGGAATGAACAAGCAAATAAACTGCTATTTCCTTTGTAGAGCAGCTGCTGTTACATCAGTCAGGGACTGGTAAGAAACTTCACAATCTATTACCTTAGCACCTCTGTTTCTCAGGCCATTCTTAAGATTGCAGCCTTTAAAGTTCTGTCCAAACTTGGCTCAGAACTACAACACATTCTTTAATATTCTTTTAGGCCTGTGGCTTTCAAATTAGAGTCACTTTTCAAACGGTACCTTTTGTAGATATGGTACTCCAAAAAAAACCGGAGGCAAAAGAAGCAGTGTAGAGTGAATTTTTGGAATAGCTATTCATGATTCTAAAAAAGCCACTTACAAGCCTCTTCTTTTGTGCTCTACGGTATTTATGCTAGATCACAGAATAAAGAGCAAGTTTATGTACTTTCTACTGCACTTAGGAAACAGTTTTCCCACCACTTATTAACTGTAAGATAAGCAAAAGAGCATTGCACACCAAGAAATACATAGTATGGAAAAATACTGGAAGTTAGGATTATAGAAGAGTTATATTGCTATCCACTTTGATACCTTTTCAATTCATCTAAAATTTTGTAGTTCTATATTTGGCACATTAGGTACACTGAAGCCAGACTAACAAGAAACAGTCACTATTTATAGTATTTGCTTGGAAATTGGAATGGTTGCTTCTGCATTTTAAGACCAGTCATGTAACATCTGTATTAATATGAAAAGACAAACACATTTTACTGCCAGCTCTGTTCGAATTTCAAGTGGAAACGACATTAGTTAATTTGTGAATTTCTCAGTCAGTCTCCAATGTAAACTTACACAGTTTATCTAAAACATCTCACCAATACACAAGGTAATACAAAAGGATGCTAATAAAAAAGTCCTCGGTTCAATAGTGTGCTTCAAAAACTCCTTACCTAAAATAAAGTCAGGAATGGACTGCAAATGTCTCTTATCAGCAGCACCTGGAACTCTGCAGGTTCTGGTACCATTCATTTTCATTTCACAAACTCTTTGGTTACAACACTGTCAAGAGGCATATAGGCCTAACTCTGAGCCTTTCCACCATCACTGCTGTCCTAAGCACAGTGAGGATGTGATCTCAGGTTCAAGAAGGCTGTGAGGGCATTGAGTCATAGCATGTTTGATCCCACTGCTTGCAATAGATTTATATGAAGAGCTTGACCTTGAACTCAGATATCCTACAGGCATAGGCTCAACTCCTCTGGGCGCTTACAGGGATTCAGGCTTCAGCAGCCACTAAACGAAGATCTCAGGATTTACAGTGGGCATAGCGGATGAGCCGGATGTCAGGTCTGGGCTCGAAACGATAACAGTCATGCCTGCTTTGACACGAACAGGAGTACTGCCTGGGAAGAGCAGCACTTTCCTAACTTACAAAGGGTAATTCAAGGATAAACAGAATAGAGACATTTGTGAGACACTGAACCAATACAGATACTGACAGCATGATAAAATCAATACACTTTTTCTGTTCAGATGCTTTTTACAACACTTAAGATCTTAATAGTACAAAGTTCCAACTTACAGTGGATTTCAAAGTACATTTTTCTTAGTTGGAGCAACTGATGCTAAACCATCTGCTTACTGCTAACGGCTGCCCAGACAGAAAGGATAAATCGGAACAGAAACATGAAGTGTCAGTGGGTTAACTTTTCAGAAGTACCAACGTGCCTTGGGTGCAGAGGTTCCTCAGAAAGCGATAGCACATCTGAGCCCAAGTTACATCATTGCTTTTGAAGACTAACGCACTCCTGAGTGCTTGACGCTTCCAAAAAGCAGTAATTATATTTTTTTCACTGCTTTAACATATTTACATTTCTGAATAACTTAAAGTTAAGCACAGGTGCCTAAACAAACGTGTGCAAGTTGGACTGTTTTGAGTATCAGTTTCATGCTTCCAAACGTGTTTTGCAACAATGAAACAAAGCATGTATTGCAAGACTTTTAAAAACACCAAGTCTAAAAACACAGCAAACCTTTAAGAAAATAAGTCAAAAGTGTTTTTAACTGCTGTATTTTCTATCTGTTTTCAGTAACGTTTTCCTAGTTCAACTTTAAATATATTGTCCATTGCTATATGCAAGAATCCACACAAAACACTTGGAAAAATGGCTTAGAAAGGAGGCATTGAACTGAATATGCTGCAAGAATGGTCAAACGGAGAAAATAACTTGATTATGAAAAGCATTACAAATTTTCCCCTTTAAGAGGTTTTAATAGTAATATTTAACATTGCTGTAACAGATATTTGTCTGAAAACTTTTATGATTTCAGCTCTGGGTGATTATTATTAATAAATATGCTAAAATCAGAAAAGGAAGCAATAAATTATTTATAAAACAAGTAGTTTATTAAATTCTAGTCAATATATACACAAATATCAACATTCCTAACATACAATTACATCTCAAACTAGATTCTTTCTCATCAGACTTCCTCAGGATTCTACAGTGACTATTATGGGCAATTAATTTTCAATTTTTTAACATATAATTTGCTGCAGTATCTGCTACCAGTTATATTTCATGGGCTCCGGCCTAATTTCAAGCTGTAGTGCTTTTAGACCTTTGCAATAGCTACACTACCCTCTGTTGACTTCTCACCCTCAGTTCAGTGATCCAGATTTACTTTTGTCTTGATTCAAAACTTAAATTGAAATTTCGGCCAGTGAAAGCAGCACCTTTCTTTTCCACTGGATTTGTAATGCATTTCAAAACACTTTGGTGTAAAAGGCGTTTTGAGAGTTTAGCTCTGCATTGTATTTTATTGCCTAAATAGTTAGATGGTTCCAATTTTTACCACAGTAACAAAGTCAAATTGGCATCCACTAAAGTTCCAAGAGGAACTGAGTGCTAAAAAACCTAAACATTCACTTGTTTTATTTTTCTGTTTCTTGGTTACATTTTCAAAGTGTGTACGATACCATTCCCATTAACATCAGCAGGGGGCTTGTGAATAAGTCTTTGCTCAGTCTTTCAAAAAACTGAGCTGCTCAGTGCTAGAAGTGAGGCAATCCCAAAGCATTTTGTTACTGAAAAAAAAGAGCAGGATAGCCAAGAGACGACAAAGTACCTGCATGCATCTTAAAGCACCTCTGAAGGTTACATTTGGACATTTTATAATTTGAGTTGAAATAAGGTAATTTTGAAATACACCAAACACGATTCAGGAAAGACAGCATATTAGCTGGCTAGAAGCATTGCTAACATTCAGATGACATAGCATTAAGTTAGCTGCACCCTAATGTGAGAAATTAGGACATTGTCTTTAACGCAGTAAAGATGCGTTTCATGAAGCTAAATAGATGACGGCATATAAACCAGTCAACCACAATAGTCGTTACTTTTTTCCTGCCCAGTGATCAAGCTTCTGAAATTGTATATTCATACTAAAACTGAGGATTTCTAGACATCACAAGTCAAAGTTACAAAACTTCCATCTCAGAACAGATAAAACCATTAAGAACTATGCCTTATTTAAAGGACAGAGATAATCATTCATATTTTCCATTGAAGTTAGAAAACTACAATGTTTAAAAAAGAATCATGGCTCAGTAGACGTACTTTAGCAGTAATTTCTGATGTTGCTGCAACTGAAGTCGCATCAGCATTTTCATGATAAACTACACAGCCAGAAAATCCATTCAATGTTGCAAGCTGACATAAAAGACTAGGTACAAATCCTTCAAGCACCACTGAGTTGGTTCATCTGATTTTAGACTGAGAAGTTGGAAGAAAAGAGAAAGCAGGAAAAAAAAAAATCTTAAAATGGAAACCATCAATTTAGGACCAGCTAGTGTTCAAACAGAATTTACAGCTACTTTTTAGCGCAGATGGTTTATTCCTGCAGTGATCTGCCCAAGAAAAAGTATTTTAAAAAATTAAGTTGAAAGCCCGTATTCACTTTTATATTTGAGGAAAAACTCAGACAAACACCTTTTTCTAGACAGCAGAACCTGACTTAGACTTAGACTGATCAAGGAACTACTCGTAGATTATTAACAGAATAAAAGCAAACTACAAGCACAAATCATTATGACAGCTATAACCGGCTACTTCTTATTTAATAATTGCTTTTGTTGCAGTGCTAGCATTTTACCTGGGTTTACATATGTGCTCCTTTGTAACCCTATGCAGATGGTGCTACTTAAGGTGAGCCTTAGGTCAGGGAATCAAAAAGGAGAAGATTAAATTGTATATACAATTTAGCTCAATTCCCTGTTCTTAGAACAAAGTAATTCTTTTGGTCTTGTAAAACATGCCCCAGTACATCAGAACTGAGCCTGCTGGTTTCAAATCTGCTACCTGAAAAGAATGGAAAATCAAGATGTTTGCAATGTATAAGACTAAGAGTTACTCATTTGAGGGATTCCTTAGGAAAGGATGTTCTCTGGATTGTTTGTTTCATATTTTTTAAGAGTAAAATAATTTTAATTTTGTATATTCTCACTCACCTGCTCTGGGTACTTGCTTCCAACTATCTCTGCCACAGTGTTAAAGGAATTAGAATCTGGATAGGTCTTAGCACTCATCTTCAGGTACATAACAATCTTTGTGTCCCTCAAGGACATTCGTGACATCATTTCAGCATCTTCTATGGAGATACAAGCAGTAGGAATCTGGGGTACACCTGACTGGTAATTCTGCCACCCAGTATGTGGGCTGTAAAAAATAATAATAAAAACATTGTTCACAACTTAGCTGCTTAAATTAGTACAATCATCACAAAATTGTTAAGAACAATACCTTCATTACCATGGCTAGCCGACTGCCAAAAGCAACACATTCACTATTATTTAAAGAAATCTTCAATGGAACACCTTTCAAGTATTTTTATACTAATCAGCGTATATGACTACCACACATTCTGTGTATTTGGGAAGTTATTGTGCTTCAGCACTATTTATGTCATTGTTATGCTTTTACATTACAACAGTCAATCCTCTGATACCATACTTTCTTCACTACTGTATCAGGAAGAAAAGCAATGGAGACGCAATAAGTAAACAGTTCATAAGAACTATTTCCTTTCCCCCGCCCCCTTCTATTAAAAAAATAAAAAAAAGTGTCAAGTAATGAAATCAAAATAAATGTGTGTTTCATCTCTGTGCTGATGTTGAAATAGATGAAGTAGTGAGTTTTAAAGAGTGCTAGTATCAGAGACTTCAGGAAAAATAAGACAATGAGACCTGAAACAAAATGTATGTTTCTTCTTTCTCAACACACATGAGATTTCAACCACTATCTGTAGATGAGAGAAAATACCAAAAGAAAAAAAAAATCAGTAAACCCTACAGTAATCACTATTTGACCACATTTTCCTCCACTTCAGTTCTTTACTGGCAATAGCACTCAGAACAGAGGCAGATGAAAGGAAGAACTACAAGGGACATTTTTCAGTAGAAGCTCTCAATGAGTAACAGAGACAATCAAGAAGAGTATATTCTTTGTCAAACGATAGTGAATCCCATTCACTGGTTGAGAAGACTGCATGCTTTGCAAAGGATGGTTGTTTCACTATGTTAGCAGGAGGAATGTTCTCCAAATATAATCTAGTGCTCTACAGTGGCAGATTAATTCCTGCATTTTTCTAGAACTCATAAAGGTATGCAGTAAATAAGACAAAATTTTTGATTCCTCCTAAAACTGCATCTCTTCACTATGTGAACAGAATGACATCCTGATGAATCGGATTCTACATCTGACATCACAGGATTCTTAAAAATCAAGGGCATATTTGCCCTTCTGGTCACTATTTACGTTATTTCTCATTTGCTAGATGCCTTGGTTGAGACCTTTGGTTGAGATCTGCAGGAGTGCTGAGCACTACAGCTGCAGCTTAAGTCACTGTTTTTAAAGTGAAGTTATATATAAATCCAGTTATATCAGGGGAAAAAACAGGTTGAAAAAAAATAAACCAGGATCTAGATATACCCCAGAATTTGCAAATACTCTTGATATCATTCATTGCTTTCATTTCCACTTGTAAAATGGGAATAATCCTCTTTGTTTCACATACTGTGATGAGGACAGATTCAACGAACACTTGAGAACCATTCTGATACCCTGGAAATCAAGAACCATTTTGACTACCCTAGAAATTCACTGGTATATAATTCAAATTCCTAAATCATAAATAAGTTTAGAATTGCACATTGAAATATTCAGGCAAAATTATGAATGAGCAGCTCTGCAGTACTACCCATTCTCTGCCGTAAAAGTAAAAGCTGAAATTTTACACTTGCCCCCTTACTTCTCCCCCATTGTTTCAGTTCTACTTTGTAATGTTTCAAAGTCACTGCTCAAGAGAGGCATTTCCAATATACATAAAATATTCACTCCTACAGATGCTTTCTCAATCCTCTTACGAATATGTTATTTGTCTTAGTTACCAGTAAAATGCCTGCCACTGAAATTTCCAGGGAAACCTCTAAAGCTACATCATATTTTTTGCAGACTTACTACCCTATGAAGAAAGGCTGGAGTTGAAGTTTTCAAGACAGCTCACAGACATTCTTCACATTAGCTGCCTACCATTTTCACAAATTTTGTATTGCTATAATGGATGACCCTTACAATTTTTAAGACTGTTTATATAGAGAGTAATACATGAAAATCTTCCACCCATTAACCTAATTGTGTACAAATATGAGATTGCTACTGACAGTAAACAAAAATCCAAAAATACACTTTTTTGGAGTCTTCTGCACTGAAAAAATACGCTTAAAATATTCCTAGAAGGCATGTGTGGAGGAGGAGGGGAGAAATCCTCTTTCTAGGGAAACAGACTAGATAAAATGGGAGACATTATTCAGTTCTACTTCTATAAAATAATCAATCCTCATCTCAACAGTAACAAGACATCAACAACATAACCAGCAGAACAGGGACGTAAGAAACGTTCATTTGAAAAGAAAACACTAGAAATCAGTCACAGAGGTTTTATGGGAGCTGCTTCAGAGTACAGACAGGTCTGTTTATTAGGTGGCAACAGTTTAAGAAATTATTGCTCCCACTTGTTTAGGACTGAACCTCCCAGGAAGGCTGGTGCCCCATCAGCTTGTGCAGATTGGGTGATCAGTGGCTCATCTTCAACATAACAGCTATCCCATTCTGCACGACACATACCCAAGCAGTCAGAATCTCGTGTGCCTCGCAATCCTTGCTGGGCGGGATAAACTCATGCAGACTTGCAACCTCAGGTCTTACATATTTTTTTCTTTCCCTTTCTCCCTGTAAATAACTCTCCACCCCCACCCCCCATTTTCAAACTACAACCGTTTGCTGCATATGTTTACTGTTCTTTGAATGTCTGGTGAAATACCCAGCATGTTGATCAGGAGACTTTCCAAAAAACATAACATAAACACCACAGGGCAGGGGTAATTTCATGTATTACTGTTCCAAAAAACCTGCATTACAACAACGGAGCAGAAACAGACAGTTTCTGCTCATTTTAATGAACCCATTCACCTGTGTCTTCTGGCAAGATTACTTCTTAGTACACTGCCACGTACACTGAACGGCAGTACTTCAAGTTTTATCACCACCTATAGTGATTTCATTCCTCTTGTTATTTCCTAGATGCTCAGCAGAAGAAACCCCTAAAACTGTACTTGCCTCTCCAGTTTAAGTAGCAATTACATTTCTTCAGGATGCTCAATCCCAAAGCTCCACCGTAACTGTGAATAAAGCTGACAACGTATTATGTTCATGCTAATACACCTTCCGTGACCAAACATTTGCAGGTATAGCTAACCACAGCTAGCATAAAAACTAAACTTTGAAGTCAGCTGGTAGTCTTGTCTTTTTTATGCTCAAACTACTGTTTTGCTGACATTGCTATGGTAAACCCAACTACCCAAGTTAAGGCATTTTGCCACAGGCAGGCAGGCAGGCAGAGCCAGCAACTGCTCAGACAATACCAGGCTCTGAAGGGAATGAATGACTGTCCAAATGCTGTTTCCTCTAAGGACTCTAAGCATCATGAATACAGAGGTACAAGGCAGTATCACAGTACTGTATACTCTTAATGCTATGAAATTCTGACACTAGAAAATATTTATGACAGACATTATACATCTTGGAATAGACCTAGTTAAAAGTCAAAATGCATGCAAAACACCCCATAGATTAAATATATCTACACAATAAGCTGCTTAATAAAGTGTCAAAGAGTATATTAAAATATATAAATAGTAAATTATCAAGCCCCCTTTATGGAGAGATAACTGAAAACTGCAAAGGTTGCTGCCCAGATTGCTCAAAACAGAACAAAGAATAAGTGCTTCAGGAAGGAGAAGCTTGGAACTGGTGGATGAGGAAGATCACCTGCACTGTGTCTGAATAAACAGGACTTTGTGGATACTCCTAAAGAAAAAGGATATTAAAAAAAAATGACTTGTACTTACCATTTTTTGCCCCTTAAAAAAGAAGAGAAAGAGAAACACTATAGAAAACCACCTGGAAAGGGAGATCACAAAACAAACAATTCAGATTCAGCACTGATCTTTGCAGCATTTGCACTTCTAGGGAAAACAATATGCACCTTCACTGTTTCCTACTAATAACTGGGAATGATGTCAAGATTGTGATGCTTCAAACGCATGCTGCCTCTGAAAAGCTGTAATCCAGGAAAGCAAGAATGCATTTTGGCAAGACTTTAACAGCAATCAGCTCACTTAATACTTAACATACTCATACTCAGATACTATAGTTTGGTGTTTATTACTGTCTTTCTGCTGTTAGTTTACAAAAGCATCTGTTCTTCAGGCATCAGATGTACTGGGTCACTTCATCCGCACGTTTAAAATATCTAAAAAATGCAAGGCATTTAGCTAGATTCATCCTTCATAAGCCTATTAGTGGTAATATCATCATTCAGTCTTAACTTTCCTGCTCAACAGCTGACAGACTTTGGATAAATACAGTTTTTGCATGTTCTTTTTAATAAACACCTAATTTTTACATATTGGAATGTATGTAAGTGAAGTATCACAGTATGAATAAAATAGGAGAGAAAAGGTTCCAGAAAATAAAGCATTCTGTCAGAGGTGCATGTCAAATGACCAGTAAGACACAGATATGGCTTACATCTTACAGAAGAGTAGAAAAGAACAATAAGAGTCAAGAGGCTTCTCTTTTAATTAGTTTATCTTCTGAATCAATCAGTCAAGTGTGTATAAACTAAAAGCTATAAATGTAAAGATGTGCTGCTGGTGTCAGGTCAGTCATAACTATGTTTACTGCAGTACCTGACCTTACAGGGTTCATTACTTTGTTCCTCGATTACCAGCCTTTATCTCTAAGATAAGCTAAAATGCCCAAGGACAAATAAACTGTGTATGAACCGATGCTTCAAGCTAAACTAGACGCTGTGATAGAAAATGCATTTCAAGTTGAGGCCTCAAGCTAAGAGAGCAATCTCCTAAAGGGAAAAGTAAGTGTGACATTACAAGAACTCCCACCATATTTCTAAAAGAAAAAAAAATAAGTGATTACAAAGCTCTATTTTAGCCGTAACGTGTATATATACTCACACAACTATGTACCCTTCTGTTGAAAAGCACTAACCCGGTAAAGTGGAGCAATCTAGGGTTGGGAAATACAAAATTAAGGCTGAGTAGCTTCAGTTTACCCCATACATTGTGAGGTTCCAACTA